CCACAACACCCGGCTATTTTTTGGTTGCAGCCGTCATTGTTGTTTGGTTGTTTAGCGGGCCTGGGCTGGATTCAAACCTGCCCACTTAGGTGTATGTGGCTGGTGCCTTAGCCACTTGAGCCACAGGCACCGAGCCCGCAAATGTGACTCTTATTAATCCTCTTTAGTTAACTAATCTACTTCTATTAGTTCCTGATTTGAGTGAATTTCGGTCACTACTTGCTTTCTTAGGCGCCGAGGTGGGAAATACGCTGTTGGATCAGCTTGCATTGGAGGTGGCCAAGGGATTGCGGTCATCATCCAGAGCACAGCCTGAGGAGACCTAGTGAGCCTGCTGCGACCCACCCTTGCTTTCCTTGGCCAGGCACAGTAGAACAGGTGACCTTCAGAGCACCTGCCACAACTGGCCATGCCCTGCCACTGCCACCTTGATCAACTTTGACTGGGTAGGACAAAAGTGCATTTATCATGAATAAGAGCCCATGTCAGACAGCAGCAGATTCTTGAATGTGCACTAAATACGGTGTATGTCGGAACTAAAATTCAGCAATAGAGGCCGTAAAAGAAATTGTATCCTTGCCAAGTAACTACGACTTTATTAAGCCTTAATTTGATTGTAAGGAAATGGAATAATTATTGCCTTAACTTCAGTTAATCTCTTCCTGTCATTTACTGTATTTTTTTAAATTTGTAATTGTTACAAAATTAAATGAAGTTTAAGTTTAATGTTATAAACATTAAATGAAGTTTATCATCTTAACCATTTTTAAGTGGCATTAAATACATTCATACTATTGTGCAAGCATCACGACTATCCATCTCCAGTACTTTTTTATTATTGCACGGTAAAACTGTACACATTAAACAGTAAATGCCCCCTCCCACACCCTGGCAACCACCATTCCACTTGTGTCTGTGAATGTACTGCTCTAGGTGCCCTATATCATGAGTGGGTTGTAAGAATTTGTCCTTTTGTGACTGGCTCATCTCACTTATGAAAATGTTCATCCAAGCAGTACAGTAGGGTTAGCACAGTGGCTCACACCTGTAATCCTAGTACTTTGGGAGGCTGAGCAGGAGGATCAGTTGAGGCCAGGAGACCAGACATCCAGGCAGAGAGACTGAGCAGGCACTTGGGTGAAGGGATCTAGAGTTTGGGATGGAGATATAGATCTGAGAGTCATTGGCCTGTAACTGGGACCTGATGAAGAATGAGTGGCCGCCTTCCTAGGTGGATACAGGCAGTGAAGATCCCTGGTTTTCATGTTTATGACTTTAAGAAAATTTTAAATAACAAAAGTAATTTACTAAAGCAAGTATATCTGTATTGCCTGTGGGCAGAATGACCCCATCTCTTTTGCTCACTTTCCAGAGTAAGTGCCATTTCCTTCACTTTGATGGGGAGAAAAGTTCAATTACCTAAGTCAAATAACTTAAAATGTAGGATGCGAGCGAGCATACATTTTAAAGGAATGCCTTTGTAAATGAGAAAGCGTTTTTATGAAGTGAACAATAACCTGCTCCTATTCTCTCCATTCTGTTTTTTATTTTTAACGCGAGTCCTGGATTTTCATAAACTGTATGACTTGCGCGGAGCCCACGTGGGCCAGCAGTGAACTCAGGGACTCGTCTTCCCCTAGGGGGCACCCCAGGCTAGTGCTGACTGGGTCACCTCCCCAACAGCGTCTCAGAGCCATCACAACAAAATTAGCCTCACTCTTGGTCCTTCTCACTTTCTAGGAATTGAGAAAGAGAGAGGCCACATCTTGAGGGGTATGGCTGTGTTCAGCGTTTTTGAACATTTGAACAGGCAGTTTCAGAACAACAGGAGGAAGTCCTCTTTATGTGGGCACAAAGCAACTTATGCAACTTATTTTCACCAAGCAATAGTACAAGGTGAAAGCAAAAATGCTCTTAAGATCAGAAATGTTTACACTTTTCTCAGTATTAAGAGAAAATAAAAAGCACTCTAAGCTTTCGTATGCTACTTTATAACTATGTTTAAAAATATATATATACAGTTATATGTATATATAGTTAACTATACTGTAATCGTATAGTTAAACATTTTAAGAGGGTAGATCTCATGTTAAATATTTTTAACCACATTACTAAAAGAGGGGGATGTGACATAAGCCAGGCATGGTGGGGCCAGAGTGGCACCTGCCTTTAGTCCCAGCTGCTTGGGAGGCTAAAGCAGGAGGCTGAGGCAGGAGGCTCACTTGAGCTCAGGACTTTGAGTCCAACCTTGGTAACATAGCAGAACCTCATTTCTAAAAAATAATAATAAATAAATATAATATTTAAGGTAAAAAGAGAGGGCACAGAAAACCTGGAGGTGGTAGATATATTTATTACCTTGACTGTGGCAGTGGTTACATATGTTCAAACATCAAATTGTATACATTAAATATGTGCAAATTTTTGTATACCAATTATACCTCAGTAGAGCTGTGAAAAGCATTTAAAGCAGTCCCCAGTCATCCAAACAGAAGTGCCACCCTCTCTGGAAACATTCAAATTCTATTAACACATTGCTGACCAGTTAAGAGTTACCCGGTAACATGGATAGTTTCCAAAAAATTGCCAGTCAACAGTGTGTTGGCATGGCAGCTATTCCCTGATTCATCTCTCCCAGTCTCAGTTCCCAGTTGTTCCAATTCAGCCCACTTTATTCTTTCTCTCCTCCTCATCTCTCAGCTGCTTGTAATATAGAATCACTTAGCGCCTCTAACTTTTGCCGCATTGTTGACCACCAATTTTACAGAATCTATCCATGTTACCAGGTAACTGGTGACCAGTCAGCAATGTGCTAAGTAAGATGCATCCCAATTTCAGAGACATTAAAAGGAGCATAGGAGGGTTTTGTTAAGGGTGGCTCTAATTTTATAAAGTATCAGAAATCAATAAAATACACTGAGAGTTCAAACTGATGAGCACTTGGAAGCCCCTTGGTCCTTGTCACAGGCAGTGGATACCAATATAGGCAGAGAGCAGACAGAGGGCATCATGTAAGAAAGTTCATAGAGCCAGCAAAGAAACAACCGAGCAAATGGAGCAAAGAAAAGGCATTGCTTCCATAGACAGGCCCTGGGAACCACTGAGCAGGGAGAGAGGCACATGGAAGCTGCTGCTGCGGCCCCAAGCAACACGTCATTGAGTCCACAGACACAACTCCCCAGCCCCCTGTACTTCCCAGAGGTGCTCCCCACACAGGTCTGGGCCACAGAGGCCCCTTCCCTGAAAGGATCATAGCCTATCTGGAAAGCCACGGGAAAAGCCTTGACATGACTGGGTGCAAGGCGGCAGAGTCCCGTGCTGCTGTCTGGGCTATGTGAGTCAGAGAAGGGAGAAGTCAGGTCAAGTTGAGAAATAAGAAGGGTTGTGGGGGTTTGTTTTGTTCTTTGCTTTTTTGTATTTTTGCTAATTTTGCCTGTGAAGAGACTTGCCTAAAGAAGGGAGGCTCTGAGGTGAGTCTCAAAGGCGCAGAGCACCTCCCGGTGCCCAAGGTCATAACTCATCTCCCTTCTGGAATGCTATGCCCCAGGTGCAGGCTCCCAGGCCAGCCCCTCCCCACTGCCCCCCATGTCTTCAGGTTGGTGCCCCTAGTCTGCCCATCTGCAGTGCGTGGACAGTGCAGGTCTCAGCAGCAACCCTTCCCAGCCCAGGCCTGGCCTCATGATCTGTCCCGGCCCCCTCGCTGGCTGAATACCTGCCCCAGTAGGAAGAAGAGACGAGGTAGAAGCCTACAGAATGCACAGACCCAGTGGTGGGAGGCCCAGTGCCCACAGTGAACCCTACTCTGCTTAAGTCAGGACTCTCCCTCCACTTGAATCTGACCCATCAAGGTCAGGCATCCCTCCAGGCCTCAT